ACATTTCGGTGATTTGCGCATTTCGTAACGAAGTTGAGCATTTCAACAGAAATCGTACCAACCCCCTAGTTTGATTTGTGCAAACATCAACATAAGGCGTTTCAAAGACCGGATAGCTCATATAGATTTCAATTTTCAAGAAACCTAATAAACAATATTAGAAGATTCGTATAGTTGAGGAATACTTCTCCTCAATTACTAAAGACAGATCAATCACAACTTTTTGAAGATATTGCTGAAGTGAAACACAAATATTTTCGCTAATCTTCGAGCCTCAAAAAGTTCCGAGGGGGCTTCAAAAATTTTTTGGACGTAGAACGTTTCGGAGCACCGAGAACTGGCAGAAGACTACTAGCAGCAGTGAACGTTCCGAAGCGGAATACCATGCGAAAAAGAATACATATTGTATTTACATTCAAATTTAATTGAATTTTTATTCTGATCGAGTTATTACCATTAAAATACGTTCATTGAAGTTCTGGAAATTTCTGATTTCCGATCTCACCTTAGGACGGCGGGATCGAGGATGTCAGGTCTATTCGTCGCAGCCATAACAAAAACTCCTTTCCGTCCTCCGACACCATCCATCTCGGTCAATAGTTGATTGACAACACGGCCGGAAGCACCATCTCCTCCAGGACCCGAAGATCGTTTCGGACACAAGGAATCCAGCTCGTCAAAAAATATTACACAAGGTGCGGAATTTCTGGCTCTCACGAAACATGCCCGCACAGCACGCTCACTTTCGCCGACGTACATGTTCAACAGCTCAGGTCCTTTCACAGATATAAAGTTGATGTTGGCTTCATTGGCTACGGCTTTGGCAAGCAATGTCTTCCCGCATCCCGGAGGACCGCAAAGAAGTACACCAGATGGGTTTCCTAAGCCTAGAGCCTCAAACTGTTCTGGAAATTTCACTGGTGCCATGATACTAACTTCTAATTCCTCTCTGATATCACTCAAAGCTCCAACATCGTCCCATGTGACATCTGGAACAGTAGCAAAGCCTTCACGCTTCGCAGATGGCTGAACGGTTTTGGAAGCAGTTACAAAATCTTCATCAGTTACACACAGCGTCAACTCTGTTCCTGCCTCCAGATTCGAGAATGAACGATTCACGGCGATCATCGCAGCTTCGCGAGTCAGCGACGCCAAATCTGCACCCACGAAACCTGGTGTTCTCCTCGCCACAAGATCAAAATCGAAATTAGGCGCCAACGTGAGGTCTGCACAGAGAATGTGGAGGATTTCTTTCCGGGCTGCCATATCGGGAATACCCAAGGAAATTTCACGATCAAATCGGCCACCACGACGAAGCCCGGGGTCCAAGGAATCAGGGCGACTTGTAGCACCCACAACAACGACCTTTGAACCGTTGACGTGACAGGCCATATCATCTAAACAAGACACAAGTTGCGCGACAACCCGACGTTCCATTTCTTTTCCAGCAGTTTCTCGCTTCGGCGTGATTGAGTCAATTTCGTCGATGAAAAGGACACACGGTGCCGCATTTAGTGCAGCTTCAAAAACGTCTCGTAGTCTTCCTTCACTTTCACCAGAAACACCACTGATCATTTCAGTCGCAGCAACCTTTATCAAGGGAATGCCGAGTTCTCCGGCAACGGCTCGGCCCAGTAAAGTTTTACCACTTCCCGGTGGTCCATGTAAGAGGAAGCCACGAGGTGGTGAAACACCGATTTTTGCGAACACCTCCGGATGTTCCATGTGGAAAACGAGTCTTTTTATCTCCTTCACTGCAACCTGTGCCCCACCAACATCACAGA